CAACAGGCGATCATGGGAAAAAATGACAATGCATATATATATATATATATATATATATTCATAGTTTGACCTTGAAGATGCCGGAAGTTCGCTAGCACACATGAAAATACAGAGTTTTTGGGGGGATATTGATATCCCCAACAGGTAGCCCTTTACAATTTGCAGGTGTGAAGTGCATGCTAAACCATGAGGCGGAATTAGTTGGAATATTTAATATTGTTTGCATTGCCACGGCATCAGATCCAAGAAGACCTGTTGTCTGCGTACTCGATATCTGTGAGCGGACGCCTTGGGAGAACTTTGGCCCCGCAGGGATTGGAAGCTGTTAGTGAGTCTTCCATAATCGTATCAATGACAAAGTTAAATAGGAAAGGTGACAGAACAGACTTGTCTGACACCACTTTATGTGGTGAACTCTGGCGAGATCTTTCCGTAGACCTTCACACGGCCGCGGAAGTTGGCGTACAGTGCCTTAGGGAGAGTCAAAAACTTATTGGAAACACCTTTGCTCCATAGACACTACTATAGTGCCTGACAGCCCACTGAGTTAAAGGTATCCTTCGGATCAAGGAAAACAACCATTGCTGGTTGCTTGAAGCATTGTCGCTGTTCCAGAATCTGTCGGAGGGTGAAGATGTGCTCGATGCATCCTCTTGCAGGATGGAGCCCAGATTGGTTTTCGCCTCTCTCTGTATTCGGTCATTTTTTTCCTTAGGCTTTCCAATATTTGGCGTTTGATGGATTTACGCGCTATCGTACTCGTTGCCTGCTGTATGGATTTCCTGGCATCAATCATGGGTAGCAATCTCAACGACGTCCGGTGGTCTTGTGGCCGAATCGGAAGTCGGACAGACAGCACTGAACGCTGCTCGCATGGCTCGTTTCACGTTTTACCACGCTTCATCCACATGCTCGCTGCCAGTACAGTATTAGTTTGATGTGGAGAGCTGTTGGGCTAGCTCAGATCGATACTGTTGAGCTATGATAGTTTTTCGAAAATGGTGGATTGGCGTGCTTCTTGCTGACTGGCGAGGTCCTGAGGGAAAACGAACTCTTAGGCGTGCATGCACCGTGGCATGATTGGAATCAGGTTGTACGCCCCAGAAGGAACGGCAGTCTCAAATTGTAGCTTTCTACCGGTGGCTGATGGCCATATGGTCCAACTGGGTCCACGGTTGATTTGCAGTTGATGGTCGCCAGGCTATGCGGTGCGAATGTTTATGTTGAAAGTTCGTGCTTGTCAGAAACAGTTCATGATCAGCACACAATTGGAGGAGTCGGTCTTCGTTGTCTGTGCGACAAGCATCGATCCCGAATCGACCACCTAAATGTGATTCCAAAGAGCTCAGACGACCAATTTGAGCATTCATGTCGCCCGCAAGCATCACAGTGTCACAGTGCTTGATGATTGAGCCTGGATAACTCTAGGTAGGTGTCCCTCTCGACGTAAGAAGTACAGTCCGTTGGGGCATAAGCCGACACTACAAACAGGCACCGCTTTTTACACCGAGAAGCCTTAAGCTTGGTTGAGCTGGATAACCGGATGGCACAAAGACGGTTGTTTACTTGGATCCAATCAAGCAAAGTGCGTTCAGCTCTGGGGCTGTGTGCAACTACCCACCTGCATCCCACGAGTCATTGCTTCTGGATCACCGGACATACGGAAGGAGAAATGTGAAAGACTTGAGTTCGTCCTTGGAGTTCTGAGAAGCATAACCACTCTTGGGGTTTGTATGCGTGTTTCGGAGGCACAGTATACATCAATTTTAAGCGAGTAAAAACTTTCAGCGAGCATTACCTGTTTGCTAATTTAGCATAGTGTACGGACGTTTAAAGGGTCTCATGGATTTAGAAAGGTATATTATTTATCTTTACTAGGTAGCGGGGTGCATAAGGCCTTCGGTTGGATAACTGACAGTCAAATGACCCAGCGACTTTTGCTTGTGGGTGGTGGTGGTGGGAAGGAGTTGGGGAGAGACATTGATGGACGCAGAACTGTGCGGGTAAATCATACTTTCCGATTAAACAGGCCGAGGAAGGGGATTTGAATGAGGTACCCCACCTTGATCCTTTGACTCGAAAGTCTGACCCAGAAGGCGGTGGGAGGATGTGGGGTTGTGTTCAGGGACCCTGCTCTTAGTCTCTGACTCGAAAGTCTGACCCGCGAGGCAGCGGACATGAGGGTTTTCTTTCGGGACCCTGGCTGGAGCCGATGACTCAACAGTCTGACCTGCTAGGCTCCAGGGGGTCGGCCAATCCTGATGGCGCAGGGACTAGGGCATTACTGTTTCTGTCCCTGATGCGAATTCGGACAGCAAGTGCCTTTTGAGCAGCACCAGACTCTTTGGTTGTAAAAGTATTTCAACCGTATTGGATAATGCGCCGGCGGTCACGGTCAACCGTTGGGAGATCGGAGTGTTTGGTTTTAAGGGCCGACCTTTTCTTGCCCGTCTTTCCTTGGAGAAAGGCAGCATCGCTGCTTCTATGAATATAGACATGCTGGTTGCCTGGGTGAAACGACTTGCCACCTTTATAATCCTGTCACAGAGGACAGTACGACTTTACGCTCAGACCGCCTCGTAGTGCGAGGTCTCGCTGCTCTTGGTCTGACTGTTCCCCTTTGGTCTTCCGGGCATGGTTGCACCTTGTGGAACGAAGTAGTCTGTGGGATCATTGCATCACTCAAGCCCGATCACCACGTCAAGGTGGCAGCTGATCATCAACAGGTACAGGGGTCTGTATGTATACAATCGTCTACAATTTGGGATTAAGACGGCTCGTTGAATCTTCCAGCAGTTGGACATTACCCTCTCTGACATTCGACGTGTGGCCGCTTACCTGGACGATGTGCTGATTGTCGCCGGCTGGAACGGTCAGAAAACGTCAGCTCAGAAGACTGGATACTCGAATAGCCTAATTGTAACCGCTTGTAAATTACCTGATGTTCGAAAAGTGAGAATGGGAACTGAACTGCTGATGTGCGCAGCTACTGTGAACTGAGACATCTGTAACCCTCTCGCGGCACCATAGGGCTAGACCCATTCCAAACATGTGGAGCGGTGAGCACCGTTCAAGGTCTCCCGTGGATGTATAAAGAATCTAACTCCGTCCTTTGGAAACGCAAGTGGCTTTGGCATGCCTTAACAACAAACTCGATTGGTTGAGCCTATGGTAAACATCACAGCTTGCGCAACCTGAAACACAACGTGAAACACCTGAACAGAGTACGAACATAACTATTTAGGATTTCAGGACCCACTGTCTCAGAGTTCCCTCGTATGTTCGCCCGCCTTAGAAGTCGCAGCAACATCTGACAGATCCTGTACAGTAGTGTGGAGCAGGTAGCGGGCTGTTTCGATCGAACCGAACTGTCATGACACAACCAGTGGCTTCAACATTACTTTGATGCCTAGCCGTAGAATGCGATATGCAAATCTGGACAGGATTTCGACCCGTCAGGCGATTTACTGGTTACATTATTATATTGTTGCAGGTGCCTTGCGTGAAGATGATTGACAGTCTCGGTCTTCGTCAGTTTCAAAGGTGTATTGGGCTGTGTAAACGAATTATCTTTGCTGCACATAAGTAGTGTTGAAGTCTGTAAATATGCCTCGTCTTCCCACAGCCAATGAAGTGCATCGAGGTTGTCTTTCTTTGCTATTTTCAACTTTTGTCATGCCCGTCATGCAGTTCTTACCTAAAAAGGTTAATAATGTGGACAGTAGAGATCAGTATCGGGCTCTCGATAATGGATTAAAGCGTTGACATCATATCTAGGGAAACATAGATGGATTAGGGCGTGCGTTCAGTATTTTATTGCCCGATAAGGTCATGTACTTATATTCTTCTCTACCTAAAGTGCCATAAGTGGTCCTTGTTTCGGCGTGTTTCACAGAAAATTCGGACTATCACCTGGGCCATGTGGCTCTGTACACCTCTAACAAGAGGTGGCTTGTTTCGGTTTTGCTTTCTTTACTTCAGCTACTTAGATCTGTTTCGCTTGTTCTTCCAAACCATTTTGGAAACTGTTTGAACCATTGTGGAGATCTCTGTGTACATTGTATCTGGCAGAAAAATGGGAGGAGTGCCACTGTAGAGAGTCAGAAAAAGCGGAAAAAAATTTTCTACCTCACCTGTGACTTGACCTCATCACATGTGTGTGCCTTGTTCATACTGAGTATCGTTCACCTGTTTTTTTCCTTCATTTGTTACAACAGGCCAAACATTGATTATTGCTTCTGTGCTTGTTGTCTTTTGTCTGTTCCGTTCGGCAATGAAACAAATGAACAAGGTTCGTGGTCGCCAGAAAGTTGTGAAGTCTGATCAAAAGATTATTTCTTGGGCCCGAAAACAAAAGCAAAAAAGTAATTCAACATTCTTTGCCACAATGGGTTGGTTTTACAGATATAAGTCAACCAATCAATCTACCTTTGAGAGTCCCGCTCACCTGTCCCTTGATTGGCTGTTCCGGAAGTGGACACGTGAATGGTTTGGATTTATCTCACGTCACTCTGTCAGGTTGCCCTGCGTACCACAATCTCCCGTTTGAAAAATGGGCCGAAATGCGTGCCAGAGAAGATGGTTTGGTGTGTCCCGTCCGTTTACAAGCGCGGAACCCAAGCCCTTCCACATCACCGTGCAAAACTAACAAACAGTCCCACCCCGTTGAACGTGTCCACCAACTGCACACCGTGCAACACGAGCCCCCGTTAACACACTTGGCAAGTCCCATGGAGCTTTATCAGTTTCGCTGTGCCCAACAACGACTGGTGACTGAAAAAGTAAGTATTTCGTGAATTCATATTTCCTTTCACTTCTAGAGCAGCTTGCACATAACACAGTTCCGTTTCTTAACTTCTCAATTAGGACGATTCGTAAAAGATTCAGTAGACAAAAACAGTTAGGACCGGATCTCTTGACTGCTGTTTTACTTCCATTTGTAATCACCTGAGCTATATTTCCTTGAAATTTCTGATGATTCATACCTTCCCGCTGTTGTAGGAGCATGAAGCTAAGGAACACCTAATCCTCTGTGCTCGCATTGGCTCGGCCATGGCTTCAAAATCGGATGAACTTGGCTTGGAAGATCCGCATGGGCCTCTTCATCCAACTCGTTCCCGCGCCGGTGAACATATCGGAAATTCATTGGAGCAGCGGGTCCGTACAGTAGTTCTAGGCAACTGGCAAGTTGAACCAACGTATACGAGTGCTTATCCGCCTGATATCGCCTGCTTGCCGACCATTTACGTCTGTGAATACTGTCTGACACCGATGCGCTTCAGTGTTACTTATGATAGACATCAGGTAGGAAGAGGTCATTACTGTCGCTCTGATGTTTATTTGAATTCGGCGATTTTCAATGATTACGAACGTTTTTACTGACAAGAATGCAGGGATAGGTGTAAAAGATATTTTAGCCTGTCTTATTTAGGTTACAGAAGCTGATGACCACAGAATAGTCATGAGTGATTGTGGTTGCAAACGGTTTTCAGATGGTGATATGACGCACGTACCAACCAAGGATTAAATACTTCGTTTTGCACTCAATAGAGGGGAAGTTGGTTGGTATTTCGGTGGCTCATTTTTATGCTTCTATTAATCATCAAGTTTTCCCTAGATTTTATGCTCATTTTTTGTATGCAACTCTTTACGGAACTTTATTAATGCATGCTTTGTTTGTTGTGTTTGATAGGTTATGTAGAGTTTTGGCGACACGAAACCTTTCGCTCAAGTAACCCCGTTGGTCACCAGTTACCCACTGATCATATGAGGACACGCCTCATGTGGCTTAGCATTTCTGGGAAATGATTTGGGCTGTTCCAAACCTCTGAGTTAGTAACCCACCGCAGTAGCTCCTCGTTGTTTGTTTGTGAGGAGTCAGTCTACCCAGCAAAATCACTAACTGACCAAACGTCTCTCCAGTCTTACACGTACTACTGTACAATAGTGAAGAACTATGCCTTGCAGGGTTTCTCTTGTGGGGCATATCACATTGCCTCAATCCAATTGATATGTGGATTCATCATGTGATCTATTCATGCGTACTTTAGCGGCGGCGAAGTACTTTAGAGCATCCGAATATTTTTGAATGGACCATCGGGTTTTCCTGTCGTTTTGTGGTTTCCAACCGATTTTCGTTTACTTCGTGCATACTGTGCGTACTGTCTATTTTCTCACAGCAACAGTGTACAGTCAGTTTCCCGCCAGGTGATGAAATCTATCGGAAGGAAAACCTGTCGTTTTTCGAAGTGGATGGTGAGAGACGTCCAGTAAGTAACGTAGTTCCGCACACTGATGAAGTTTACTATTTTTTGTGACTAAAATAATTCTCGCAATCTTGTTTGTTCATTTTGTCCCTCCTGTCAGGACTACTGCCGCAATTTGTGTTTGCTTACGAAACTGTTTTTGGAACACAAAACCGTACATGAGGTGGAAAAGGTTTCTTCTTTTTTGTTCTACATTTTGACGGAGAGTGATGCCAATGGGCATCACATTATCGGGTACTTTTCGAAGGTGAGTATGCATGTTTGCCTATCGTGCAGCTCGTGTAGACTGCTTACTGGTGCTAAATTAGCAGCTCACGGAACCGCATCTTATTGTGGTAGGCGAAGCAGCCGTTACCCCCGGTTTCCAACGAAAAATCATCAAACGACCCAAAACAATCAAGTGGGGATAAGGACGGGTTTACAGGATCGGTAAAAATACCTCAGTGGGTTTCAGAGTTGGCTACGGGATGAAGTACACAACCGCGTTGATGGGACCTTAGAACATGCTCAGTCAAAGGGTTGAGCACCAGTATATCTTACAATAATAGTTCATTAGCAAAACTGCAGTCGGTCGGGGCCTTCCGCCCCTATTAAAGTCGACCAGATGAGCCAAGAGGGCTCGGCCACCATTTTTCGGGTGGCTTTGCTTCTTGTAGACTTGAATAACTGAACAGTTAGTCTCGGTGTTTCAGTATGGGTTAATGTGGCTTTGCAAGATGATATACGCCATTGAGATGCATTGACGTTGCTCCACACTGCGGTTCTTCACTATGGTTCTCCAAAGCATCCGCGTCTTTCTGATCCCGCTAACTTTTTATTGCTAGTACAGCTGAACATGAGGGCAGTCATCTTCATGGTATCCATTAAACGTTCCTTGGTTGTCGATGATGCTAGTCGATACTCTTGGGACCCTGTGAATACGAATATCACGTAGTTGATGTTCCGTAACTTTGTGCTCCACCTTCATTAAAACACAGCTTTAGCTGGAAAGTAACGTTGTATCGCGAGAGCAATCCAATTGACTGCGGACATTGAAGATGGGCTTTCTTTTCATCAAGTATTTTTTTCGAGCTATCTTCCTGTTCCACTATGGTAGGTTACAGTACAGCAGACCTCGATTCTTTGTTACCACCATCACCTCAAAGCTACATTGGTGTGCTCCCCACTTTTCACTTGGTGATCGACAAGACATACTTCAAGAACACTACCTTATAAGCAGCAAGGTTGAGCTGCCTTGAAAATGATCTGTCACATACTCAACCTTGACCGAAAAATATTGTGATTTGAAGGAATGTCTTAAGTAGTTGATGTCACCCATATCATAGATTAGTTTCAAACCAGCAGTCGTGAACACCCATGGAATAGTTCGACCACAGCTTCCACTGGTCCACTATACTATTCTGTCTTGCACACCATTCTTCACCTAGTTTCACACCAACCATACGGTGGAGAGCGGGCAACATAGAACCCCCATGATTCAGTTCTTAGCCAGCAATGGTACCACCGTGTTGGTTTAAAAGAGGTAAGAAAAGAGCCGTCAAAAGTAAAAATCAATTGCTTTTCGATATGGAAGTTTTCTAAGTCTTTTCTTAGCCGAAGGATTGAACACCTTCGAAAATCATTGTGGATTCATTCCACTGGTGCTTTCGTCCGAGAATAGTTTGTTGAAAGAATCACTCGCTCAGTTTGGTGAACCCATTAATCCAACAGGAGCATAAGTATCTTTCGTACAGCTGTCTAACCTTTAAACTTAAAATGTCATGCTTGAGGAAATTTTGAAGGCCGTTTTACCTTTATTCCAATTTTTATTTGCACGAGCTCTGTATTTTACTGTCTCGGACTCCCTACCAGAATTTATCTATTAGAATTTAAACAACCCTTGATACTAATCACTATCGGTTGATGGTGAATAACAAGCTTGTCATGTTGTCAGCTTTGTCGGGATTCCATTTTGCAATGATTCTGCAGGCTATACTGACTGGAACTCAATTCCTAAAGGTTTGACTATGCCAGAACGGGTGATAAAGATTGCTTGGATGGGTTGAATTGCAGCGAGGTAAATAAACAACGCTCTCAGCTTTCAGAACTGTTTGTCCAGCCCGTCTGATGCAGGAACGCCATATGAAAACCATCGTGGTATCAGCCTGGTACCCCTCTCATCTAAAGTGCTCTCTGGTAGTATTTTGCGCAGGTTGACGGTTGCGTCCAAAAGGTCATGTCTACAGGTTCCCAAGTACCTATAAAAACCAAAAAAATCCATAATAAATTCAGGGGTTCCTTAAACTGACGGCTTAATATATTTCTGAGTTGAAGGGTGTTTCACTCCCTGGGATGGAGATTTTTACGAAAAGTAAAACGATTTCAGCCAAGGATCGTAGTTTCGCATTTTTATTCACCCCATCTTTTAGATAGACCCGGCATGATTTCTGGGTCTGTGTATAGAACACATCTATAGTCGATAACGGCGTTATTAAGTCATCTTATAATTAACTGATGTTAATATATCGTGGTTAGATTGTCATCAGCTAAATCCTCGCCTCGTCTTGTTTCATGATTGTGGAAGGCTTATTCCGATATCTACTGCATAAGGTCTCGCGGAATCCGACTGTTTTCCAAATATGTTAGACGAAGTCTGCAAGGAATTCGGCCTTTTGTCATATGCATTAAACGAAACTTACCGGTTCTTTGCGATAAGGTGTTTATTGGAAATTTTTGTTGTTTTTTCGTCAAGTTCTGGATGGTTGGTTTAGGAGTAGTCCCGCCAATCTGCATTTGAATACATGCTGCTCACCTAGGCTTATCAGTTCGTTTAGTTCACTGACATTGCTTAGTTCCACCCTCGCCTATAAGCCGTGTTTATCTGGCCGTAGTCTAAGTAATCGTTCGAAGCTCCGGTTTCTCGTGGCTCCAGAACCCCATTAATCTGGAACTAGGAATCACCCTCACCAAGATAATCTGATCAGCTGAGCTTTTATGGTTTATTAATTGAGCAGTCTTGTGGTCACTATAACCCATTCCTAATCACTTTCAGCACTCTGTGTCTATTCAATGGTCCCACGAAGCCTTTGAGTAGAGGAAGTTTGGATAAAGAGGATGCCGAATGGATGTGATTGTAGGGACTGAGTCTTGGGAGGGAACTCCCTAGGAACTCCTTACTTAATGGATGCATGCTCGCCAACAAAGGTGACATGTCGCCCCATGTTAGAAAGTGTTTCTTACCGTTGAGTATAATTGTCCCTTAGTCCAAACCCCAGCAGACGACATAGTAGTAAACAACAGTCGCTCAGCTGAAACGCCCTTTCGATGCTTGTTCCGTACGGAGCCAATGCATAGATTCAAATGTCACCGTTTAGCATACTTTATTCCAGTTAGTTTCATTTACAGGACAAGCTAACCCCTATAAAAATATTATTAGGTGTCAGAAGGAAATTTCAACAGTAGGAAAGATGACATGCAAATTGGTCGACGACAAGAACTCAGTCGAAGAAGAGTGAGCCTCTTTCAAATTGGTCTCTCCTGAAAGAGCGCCAATCCATTCTATATAGCTCAGTACATGGTCAAAGTTGATCGAAAGGGTATTAAGTAAATACTTGGTATTCCTTTCTCGGGTACGTACATCCAGCTCTTGTATAGTCACATGTTCCCTATGGGGTACCTGAGAGACCTCTTTTGTTAAACCTCGGTTCAGTGACCAGATCGATGGTGGAGACCTTGCATTGTTTACACTCTTTATAGAAATTGGCCGGCGAGGTGCAAAAACCGTCACGGCGCTATAATCTGCAATCTCTCCACAGCAGCCTTCTGCAGAAGATAATAAGACGAGATAAGCTTAGTACGTTTTTTGGAACTCGACTCCATCCTTCCGTCAAGATATGAATGTATCAGTTATTTCTAAACCCACATCCATATCTACTATCAATGATTTATTTACTATTAACATTTTCTTCCATGTCCGCTGAAGCAAAAACCAGGAGATCCGCATGAGACTGGTCTGAACTCCGTTCTGTACAATAACCTTTCCTGTATACTGGTACTCCCACAATACCAATGTTCTGGCTACGGGCGTATGCTAATCGAGATGAGTGAGTTCTATTTATTCCTTTGATACCTGCGATATGGATCGATAGTTTAAAACCAACGTATACTTATAACTCCAGAAGCTTTCTATCGTAATCAAGAGAAACTTACGGTCACCGACAGGGAAATCGGAAACGAGTGATTACTACAGATGATCCCGTCGACCAACACCAGACCCTTCCTCCATGACCATTCTTGATGCACATGTCCGGTCTCATTTTTATGACTTCTGGAGCAAATAACTGGCTTGCTGAAAGCAGTGGGTATCGATAGATACCTGGTTTCTCACAACGCGTAGGTCTTCAGTGGTGACGATATTTTATTAATACAAGTAATTTGCACATAGGGTCACTCAGATGAGAAGGGCACACGATGTACTTCTGCTGCTTCTGCGGGTTCCAATTCACACTGCTCATGGTACGTAGCCTGTTATTAAAGCGATCTTTTAATCATAATGGGACAACTTAGTTTTCATCCAGTCAGCCGAAGACTGTTCAGCAACCTTGTGAGTAGTTCCCTGTATAAAAATATGCTACGGTATCTCGAATATCATACCAACTGAAACAAGAGGCGCCTTTTTGCAGCGCGTTCAGCTAAAGAATATTGTAAACTAGACATTCAGCTGGGGTTCAGTTGAGTCTCCCGTTATAACCAACTCCATGTGCTAATGAGTGTAGTTGGCGGAAGTGGCGACGAAGAAAAACAGGCGATGACCCTATTCGGTATCTCGTAGACGAAAACGAAATATGCATCTGCCTGTGAATTATTCGATACGTCTACCGAGTACCTCTCAATACTGTAATTACTTTTCCCACTTGATTTTGGGCGCGTTTTTATTCTCCGTTGGTCACGTATTTTATGGTTAGTTTTCATCAGATTGTCGCAAGTTTAAAAAACGAATTGAATTAGCGCATCTGTTAGCCTTGGATCCGTTTTTGTAGACCCTTATTGTTACCAACATCTGTCTCTTGACAGCCACTCCCAACTGGAAAAATCAAGTTCGATTTAAGTGATCCAACCAACGAACAGCTAATTAATTAGAATGCACAATTATTATGATTGTAATGGACTTGTTCGGGCAAATATTCAAGATTTATTCCAGTGTCAGTCCAGTGCTTCCTCGATCTGTGATTTAGAGATTGATAACGTTCTTCCGAAACCTATGGCTCGTGGGTTAAATGAGTTTATGAACTAAGTAATTGTTAGCTTGGCTACTTTGTTCAGCTGTATGAGCGATTTACCGATCCGATTCCTGTTCCTTGTATTTCTTCTCCCCGTGGGCAACATTATGCTAGTAGTGGACCTTAGCGATTGGCCGCTTCAAATAGTCATTGTGGCGCAAATTTATCTTTACCAATGTTCCAAAACTCAGGATGATCGAAATAAGTTTTGTTAAAAGGCCTGATACCAGAGCGATGATGGCTGGCGTTGGACCGCTTAGGCTGTCCAATTTTTAGGGGACTTTCCCATTCACGTTTCAAACCCCAATGTGTATGGCCGTCAGACCATTCATTCCCTAGCCTACCCAGCTCAGTGGACACAATGACCATCTGTTAGTAATGGGTTTACTGTGTGTGAATCCGTCGTTGTAACTCATAGGGTCGCCGAGGCACGAAACGTCCTAGTTCTTCCCGGCAACCTTAATACTATAGCTTCACGGCACGTACGACCCTCATGTCGACCACTGTCAATATAGTTAGTAGTTTACCCTCCTCATAAGCAATTTAACTCAAGGTCACCTGGAAACCTCCGTAATGAGTTTAAATCGGTCCTGTTTTCTCCTCTGCCGCACACAGGCTATGTTCTCAGTCTCCTTGAGAATCGGATTGGCACTCCAGAACATCCTCTGTCGGATTTGGGACTGATTTTATACCGAAAATATTGGAAGTGGGAAATCCTCACTTACTTGCAGACGTACTCAGGGAAGTCGATAAACATCCGTGGTAAGTTGGGATGGCGCACAAAGCCCTAAAATGCTTATTTTCGTTGATTTTGCACTTTTCTAGCCAATCCGTTGTTGGATCGACCTTGGGCGAAGTTAAGGCACTTACATCTTGTGGTACGCCTGCAACCAGCTGTTAAAGGACCTCTGAATTTTGAGATCTTTCTCCCGCACTAATATCGGCCCTGTTACCTTTTCCACGTGTCTGTACACGTTACAACATCCTTTGTTCTAAGTTGTTTGGTGAGAACGAGCACAGAAACTGAGTTTGGAGGTATCAGTCGGACCGTTTGATAGAACCCTTTTGTTACCACAGCAATTTTCAAACTAAACACGCAACCTATATAGCAAGAGCCTATCACATATGAAGAGTGGTTGAAAGTAAAACTATGCAGTGTATCTTGCTGTGACAAACATTCCTGGCCATCGACCCACCTCCATTGGATCCCTGCAATTTTTAGGTGCTAATCGGTACCCGCCTTCAGGTTCTCGCTTGCTGAGTATTTAGTCAGGTCACCGAAAGCTCTTCATTTTTCCTGAGATTTTTACTCATTCGCAAACAAGTAAACCTTACAGTTGGGACTTTTCATGGCGTTCAGGCTTGAGTGATGCAATGATTCTGCGGGCCCCCCAGTTTCTTGAGGTTTAACCGTGACAGAAGAGCCAAGCTGAAGCATTTCGACAGGAAATAAGATTTCAGGCGGTTTGGGAGTAAATTCAGTAAATTTAGACAGGAGTGTGTAATAATGAATTCATTTTTGGTGTTGACAGCAATACTGCCTTCTACTAGAGTTGGACGGTTGGTAAAATAGTAGCAGTGATCATTTTCGATTCACATCTGTCGTCCAGCCCGAAGTAAGCCTGGATGAGGTACTGCCTTGTTGCCCAAACCTAGAAAGCTACAAGCGGGGAGCCGGAATCGCTCTCCAACCTCAGACCTTCCAGTGAGTAGTTTCACGCCGTAACCACTGAGCCATCTCGAGCTCAGGGTTTAGGCTAGACCCCATTGTCTTGTAGGTCAGTCCTTTCGCACTGGAGACATCCGAAACAGACTCATATTTCTGGTCTGAGCAATCCAAGAGCGTTACCGTTCCGCGTTTGTTACCGGCTTGCAATCCGAAAATTGAAGACCCTACTTGAAGAGAATGGATAAGACAAGCTTCCAAAAGCGACCTATCATTGTCGCAAATGTACTAACTAAACTTTCCGGATGAACTGCCGCGCACTCGATGAAGCGGGGCTGGATAACCAAGGGAAGCTACGACACGTACAAAAATATGACGTTAGAGTCCCTTGCGGATTACATGAATTAAAAAATAGAATAAACTAAAGTGCATCAACTGGACTATAATGGTCATCCAATTCCGGATGTTGAGGGCCAAGTTTGGCACATTTGTCAGTGCTTCCTAACCCTACTATGCTCAAATCAGACAAGGGAAATAACGGACTGCGATCAACTGTCGGAACTGTTCTCCAAATGACCACATTTTCTTGTTGAGTGATTTTAGTTTTTTCGGGTCAGTAGAAACACGAAGACCTGCAAGAATGTACCGGGTTATTGTGGAATCGGATCAGTGAACGACGGAGCAGTAGATTATTGATGGTGTGTGGCATTAGAGCTTTCAGCAAGAAATACGAGGTCCAATATGGGGAGCGGACGTCGCTTTTCACGTGGACTCATCTAGAAAGTGGGAAAAGACCGTACCACTGTGCGCCAAAAAAGACTTATCATATGCTCACCAAAAAAGTGATTTTTGGAGCTGCTTGGAATACGGACCACGCCTTGGCAAGCTTACTTAGAAATCCGCCTTCTCGTGAACGGGGAGGAAGTTTCTCAAAGTAGTTGTTAGAAAACTTATGTTGGAATTTCGCAAGGCTGTTACGCGAAGGCCTGTGAATAACCAAGTCTCGTGAGCTTTCAAAAGCTGGCGGGCCCGAATAGGTTGAAGCAAGAATGGAAGTGAGGTTGATTTAATGACTTCAGTGGAAAATTCGACATTCATCTGACAGGTGCAGCAGCTCCAAAGCAGCCTAGAAGCGCTAAAACCAAGTTTCTGAAAGTGGGGAGTTAATGGTGGATGCAAAAACAGCTCCACAAGAGTATCCGCCTGACATCAATAGCTGAAACTCGCATTTTATAGCAGCTTATTTTTGGTCAGCTGAAGAGCAGGGTTTGAACTCGGGGCCAGCCGGAATCGCACTACTAGAATAACATTCACGTAAGTTTGAAAAGCACTAAATTTTATCGTAGGTCGTAAAACGACCCGATAGAGTGGCCGGATGAATTACCGTATTCCCGGCCTTGGTAAACTTTGAGACACGACGCGGGATAAATGAAAGAGGTTCATTCTCCTCAGTATAGGTACGACCGAATTGAACGGAGTAACGTGCGGAAGTTCATGCTTTAGTAACATCGGCCTTGTGAGTCGCCAATGCACTTGTACTGACCTACCCGCTCCACATACACGAATGGACCTGATTGCGTTTTCCACTGACTGCCTAAGATAATCTGATAAAGATGACAGTTTCACCAACCATTTAGGCAACAGAAAACTGCTGGGTTGTCCATTGCCACTTCAACAGTGTTCCGTTGGTGGCACCAGGGCAAATTACTACAGTACTATGATACACAAGGTTTGGCATTGCGTTGTAACTGAAGTGACAGACAGGGAAGTGGTGTCGGTGCCCACTGGATATGCTTATGACATCCTTCTACGTGTTCGTCCGCAAGTGTTATTCCCTCAGGTCTACATTGATTTCAAGGCCTTGAACGCAGCGCAATTTTCGGTTAAGTGTAAACCTAGTATGTGCACCTGTCATCGTCGTCATTGACAACAAGGATGAGAATCTTGGTGTTTCACTACCATATTTGAATAAGACTTTATAATGAAAAGATGGAAATGCGGCTGGGAGGGGATCTAGTTGTAGTCTACAATAAAAATCCGGGGTACGGACACCTACAACACTCAATCAGACAATCTGCATGGGAACTGAGTGCATGAGCACCGGTGACATACTTATCCACCATACCGTTCAGTATTTCCAGTCAAGTACAGGGGGGTTTGTGTGGATTCCATCCTGGAGGGTGAACATCGCCATCCTAATGTTTTTTAGCATCCATCATTCCCTTCTGCCCACCTCTGTGTTTTCGCTACTCTGAATCAGGCACACGAAACAGACTTCTTCTCGGTAATCGTCAATTCGGCATGCGTAACATTTCACCCAGTAATCTAAGCTTGCAGTGGTGAATGCATTATTTGACTGAACCAGCGTCTGCTTCACCAAAACCCGTCTGCTGATCATCCCATTCCGAATTCCTATCTAGGCTTGGGCGACCTGGCAGTACTCCAGCGCTCGTGCTTCCGTGTGGTGGCATGGTAGTTAGACACCGTAAGGGTGCTACAGCTGATTGATTTGCAGTCCACGGCAACTGAAACGCATTATACACCACATGACGCCCAGTCTGTTTAACAAGATCCTAGCGGAGTTTGGTCCGGAACTCATAGGAAGAATTTGCTGGCACAATTGCAATCACATCAGTTGAACACCGGTGCTATCGATGATTGTGAATCATAGAATGCTGTGATTTCTGAAATTTTATATACTAGTAGGTCCACCATGAAGTGCTTGCGTCTTACCATGGTATGACGGTTTGTGCGGTTCCTTTGCAACAATATACTGTGGGTTGTCCGTGTGAAACTGATACCAGGTTGTTCAGTGGTTGACAGAGGTTAAGCCATCGCTCAGTCCAACACGGAAAGTCTTGGAGACATTCAAGCACTAGAGGACACTTGATTCCTTCCTGAAAAATGTAACCAACATTATCCCCAAATTAAAAAAAATTTGGTCTTTGATGGAGGGGGCGCCATAATACAGTTGAATAGGCCTAGTAAATTATGAATGCACATAACATGTGACAGGACAAGTTTGCCACAATAGTTGGTGGTCTGATGAAGTTTAGGGTGGTCTTTACAAGAAAATGTTCTCCCTGCAAAGTACTCATGAGGGAACCACAACATAATCTCACCAGCTTGTGGTTTGACGAATATTGGGTACTCGGATGATTGGCTCGAGCGATTCCTTCGAGAGTAGCGACGTCCAACGAAGAGCACTTCGAACGTTTCCTGGTCGAAATGGTGGTTATTGCTTGATCATGAGTTGTCATAAGTTCACGTGAGAGGATTTAATTAATTCGTTTTCATCAACTTTTAATCCTTTTACTACGTTCAGCTCTGAGTGAGGAACTTGGCATTGCGATTCCAGACATTGTGAGCACACTGTTGGACATGAAGATGCTCATTTACTTCCGGACACAGTATTATATTGTGAACAATAAGGTGAGCTTGTGCCACTCGAGTTGATTCGGTTTTGCCTGTTTTCATTGCACCTGACCAGCGAACTCGGTTGGCGTTACCACTGGTTCCAATCAACTGACCGGTATGACGTAGGGAAGTATCGTTTATTTGTCTGAATGACACGTACTCTCGGTTACCTACCCTCATCCAAGGTTATCTTGCTGATAGTTCTCACAATATTTGGACTAGGTTCCGAGGATGCTATCCTTGAAACCATGGGGTGGTCGGAGGACCCCTGAAATGTGGAACCCTTGGCGTTTTACTCTTCTAAGAAGCTCGTTTATGTCGTTTTTGGGAGATAGTTGAATCTCTATGCCTCCTTTGTCTATCTGTTCTAACTTTATCTGTTGATTGCTGTTTAGAAAATTGATGAGGCCCTAACATGACTCTGTGCGGTATATGAAATACTGAAGGCAGTTTGGTGGACACGCTTCTTCGGGCTGCTCCGCATGTAGGCAGGACTTCCCATCCTACTCCCATCCGTATGTGTGGCGTATATTCAGGCGGTAGTCACTAATGGCGAGGGCCTTGTGTGCATGTTGGCNGTGGACACGCTCGGGCTGCTCCGCATGTAGGCCGGACTTCCCATCCTACTCCCATCCGTATGTGTGGCGTATATTCAGGCGGTAGTCACTCACTACGAGGGCCTTGTGTCCATGTTGGCCGCCATTTTAGTTGTCCGAGA